GAAATATATGTAATGTATGAGTTTCCCAGCAGTGCACATTGGTGGTGTCAATAGAAGTAAAGACTGCCAATGTGTCAGTGGTTGAAAAACAATTTTCTGCTGCTTCACTGGGAGAAGCTGTGTCTGTGGTGTCAGACCAAGGAGGACTACTATGGCATCTATCAGTGGGATGATGGAGGGGAGCTGGGAGGCTTGGGGGTCCCATGTGGCTCTAAGGGAGAGAGGGGAGCTAAAGGGCTCCGTGGGAGGTAGGGTGGCTATTGGGCTGTAAGGCTGGGTTTACACCTAGGTGTATCAAATATGCGCGTTTGTTGCGCGTTTTTACCGCGATTCGCGGTTTAAAAAAAAGCGCACCAAGCGCGTGTTTCCGAGGGCTACCTGGCTATATCCCAATGGATACGCGCGGCAAATACGCCCCAAAGAAGCTCCTGTACTTCTTTGGGCGATTTCGGTGTTTGAGCGTTTTGCAGAGCATAGGAACGTGCTACAAAACGCCCAGGTGTGAACCGGGCCTAAAGGGTAGAGAGGGAGTTCTGGGGCTGAGTTGCTTCCCCCGCCCTCTGTGTACATTTCAGATCTCCTTTGTGGCATGGCACCCACCCAGGAATAAAAGCACTTCTCCTTCCTCCCATCTCTGTTCATGTGATATTTCACATAACAAGGGGAGACAGAAAGAAGGGCAGTCTGCCCTCGTGTTGAAGAGATCTGTTTTCAGCTGGTTCGCCTTCTGCCCGCTCTCTTCCACCCACAGTAGGCTGCAATTGGAGTGAGGAGAGATCAGAGTCCTCCCCCCAGCAGCTATGTTCCCACCGCTGCTTTGAGCTCTGAGCGCCTGCAAGCTCCCAGTGCCCCTCCTTCCCCCAACCCACATAAAACAGCTGGGTCCAGGGCAGCTATCCCCCCCCCCACTGGTTGTCCTGGCCCTGCATGGTGGCAAACCTTTTTGTAAATTGACCTGGTAGTTAACTGATGATTGTCTTAGAAACTTGTGGGTAGTGATGAATGAATCCGGATAATTGCTAATTTGCTGTTTTTTGATTATACCTGAATATTGTGAATATCTGCTCACATCTTCCCGATCTGTGAAGAATCATGCAATTTAGGAACATAGGCAATCATGATTCACAAACTGCATGATACCTTAAAGAATAGGAGAAATTTCCATATGTAGTATATAAGCATCCTGACTTTCAATGTAATTCACTTATCACAATGACATTGCTTTAGTGCCCTGATTCTCTGAAGGCCAGTAAAATAAGTACGGTATATTTTTTGATATTAAGGCTGCATTGTATGACATTTTTATAAGAACATTTGTTGGTCATAATTACAAATGCAACTAGAATGTTATGTTATTTTAATATTTATTTGAAGTGTTCCAAGTGTCTAAAGTAAAACAGTCCATGCTACAGGAACAACCCTTTAATTGTAAAAGTGTCTGAAGCCATTTATAAGTTACTGAGGTTTTGGCCATGGGAGCGAGTAGAAATTTGCATGTTAGAGCACTCAGAGATTTGGGGATTTCTTGGCATTCAGTAGCAAAACGCAGCTAAGGTGCAGACAGTTGACTGTTATTACATACTGCTGGGATATTAATAACTCTTACACGGCTTCTGGATTATCATTAAGTTTATTTTTTACATTTCATCATTAAAATTAAGCAAACAACATGGATGTCTGTTACTTGTTTGTGTATATTATACCTCGTACTTTACGCATGATACGTGTCCCTACATTTTTACAGATGAAATCATGGAGAGAATTCAAGGGGCTGGATTTACAATTTCTCAAATAAAAGAGACTAATCTGAGCCAAGAGATGGCTGAGGAGTTTTACAAAGAACACAAGGGGAAGCCATTTTATGAGCAACTTGTCGAATACATGTGCAGGTGGGGTTTATCAGTCTTTAAGATACAGTGTATCATGTTATCAGTTTAGCGCTTGTTTTGGAGGGCAATATGCCATTAAAATGGATCATTGATTTTAAAAGAATGGTGTGCTGATGACATTATTTCTCTTTTCTGTGATTTACACGGTGCCTTCCGTGGTCACTACAAGCACCCACCCAGCTTTGGGTTTTGCGGTAAAGAGTGCAGCAAGATATTCTGTTTATAGATGTTATCAGTAAGGCACAGGCATATGATATTAAAGTCAACCTGTACACCATTTTAACTTTTAAAAGTAAAAGTCCTGCTTGATAACAGATACCACAAAAGTCTTTCTATGACCTTTAGTAAACCAGAAAATAGACTTCTGTGGCCCTCTCTGATTTGCTTTAACTTAAATGGGACAGACTTGTGCTGACTAACCTTCATCAACTGCCGTGCCTCTGTCTAGTGATAATGTGAGTAACAAACTGAAACTAAATCAGAGTGGAGCATAAAAAAAGCTGATAATAGCAGGCATCTTATAGAATCCACTCCTAGGCAGGATTTTTACTTTTGAAAGTAACAAGAGTACAGGTTCACTTTAAACATGCAATTTTAAGTGACTTTTTCGTTTAACTTTGTAAAAAGACATCCTTGAGACATCACCAGAAAAATTGTTCTGTGGAACTAGAATCTTTTAGACATCTTTCAGATATTTCTCAGCATTCAAAACATCTTTACAAACGTCTATGTTGACATTTTACTTACGTGGAAGATTGCAAGCAATATGCCTTTCCTTTACCCAGAGAAGCATTGTAACCTAATGTGGCACCTTCTCGTGTATCTATTATGCATATAGATTTTTTTTATCTATCTGCCCTGGTTTTCACTTTTATTTATTTAGTTTGCATATGACTGTTAGGCCAGAGGTTGCAAAGTCTGGCAGTTGCTTGAAGTCAGCAGAGTTTCCCATTCACTAAACTGCGTCCTCTGCACAGTGCAAATTCACTTGCATATTGAACAGTTTTGTTGCCTTTCGTAAATCAACCCCAATGTCTCCTAGCTTCTGAGTATGCATCAGAGTCCTGTAGCTGTTTGTATTTGTCCTAATTAGAGAGCTCTGTTATTTGATATTGTTATACACATTTAGTAGTCAGGAGAGAATGTGTGAGATCAATCTTTTGACAGGGCTGCAACCTGAGATCACCTTGACATTATGACTGAAGCCAGAGTCAGATGATGCTAAAACTATAAATCTTTAAGAAGTAGGCATGCACTATGGTAATAATTGAGGACAGATTATGTAGATTCTTGCATATATCTGACTGTGAATGTCTCTTTTATTATTAAACTTTTATTCTATCTCCTCTTAAAAGTTTTCAGTTCAGTTTCATATCATGATCATATGGTATGTGAAGTGTGAAATATTTTTGTTCTGTTTCATTCCAGAGGTCCTTGTTTAATGATGACTCTTAGCAAAGAAAATGCAGTACAGGAGTGGAGATCACTGATGGGCCCCACAGATCCCACTGAAGCTCAAACAGCTGCCCCTGATTCTCTGAGGAGCTTGTTTGCTAAGAGTATTTTGGAGAATGCAGTCCATGGCGCCTCCAACATAAATCATGCCACAGAAAAGATTCAATTCATATTTGGTGACATTGATCTGGATGGACATATCAGTTGTAAGTTCACTTATTAATGACATTTGCTTTAAGACAGCATGACAGAAAAATATCTGTCTGAAAATAAGAACACAACCCAGATGTGAGGTCCAGACTGTTTTTGCTGTCAATGTTCCAACAAGTGCAGTACTCTCTGTTAGCAATAACTATTGGTCACTAATACGGTACATGTATAAGGTACTGAAAGGCATGAAGGCAATGCTTTATATACTTTCCAAAATAAGTGAGTCTGAGTAGTTTGCAAAGACAAAACTGGGAGATCTGACAACACTCCACAGTCCACAAAAATGCTTTATCAGCCCCCAACATGACTTAGGAGCTGAGTGCATTTCTGCCAGATGAGCAAGTATTTTTCTGTACTTGCAGGGGCCTTAAATTGATGGAACTGGGGAATGTGCATGCATCGCAGAGATGTACTGAATATGTTTTTCTTGTTTGCCCTGACAAACACGTTTTGCAACAGGGTTATGGACATATACGCAGCTTGTAGATTTACAGATGTTGTTTTCATTAAACCAATAAGAAGGTATTTAAACCCATTACATTTTTGTTCCACAGGGACCAGTAATGAAACATCCACCCAGAATACTACTAAAGACATCCAACAAAATGAGGAGCGCAATGAAACCACAGCCCTCCCAGGTAACATTAAAGGGCAAATTGTACTATCTTAATTCATTAAGACTACCGATAAGCAGTGGCTACCCACCTCAAACCCCATCAATCAGCTTCTAGTAGCTATGCAACTCCAAGGCCTCTAGTACTTAACTTGTCACTGCCAATTGACTTCCAGTGCACGTTTTGTCATGCCGGTGTAGTTAGGTCATAGAAATCTATTGAAAAGCTATGGGTTTCCAACTGAAGTTGTAGAAAACCATGTCCTAGCAGAGGTATAACAGATGATTGGCTGGGATTCTAAGCATTACACTTCTGCTGAACAACAGTGAAGTAGCAAATACAGAGTTTAAGCATATACATAAGATTTCAGCCTGAGATAGGTAAACTTTCAGTTTACTTAATAATTACATGGAATCATGCAGAAAACATTTAAACAATTTACATTTGTAATTTCCATTTGCCTTCAAAAACATTTTCTTTCAAATATAATTATCACAATTATAATGACAGTCAAAACTAGAGCCTCATAACTTACTATTTTAGAGGGCAGTGAAACAATAAGAGCACTCCTATGAATCCCATTTAACAAATACCTTTAAATGCAGATGGCCACCTCAGTAAGCCTTACGTCGGTGGCTTTCACCCTTCTGCTATAAGCTAAGTGACTGAACATATATCAGAATGGTTCCCCCGACGGTCCCCTGTAAAATAATAGGTGTCGTCAGCGGCTGAAAGCGACTCATGACAGCTACTGTATTAACAAGAAAATCTGGGTGCCCTCCAGCGGCGCTGGAGGCCCCCACAATCTGCAGCCTCTCCTCCCCGCCTGGAGCCGCTCCAGGCTGGGATCTATTTCTCCTTGGATCCCCAATGCTCTCCCCCACCTGTATGGGCTGAGGCAGCAGGGATCCGAAGACACTTGGCCGGCGGAGGAGGGAGCTGCTGATCAGGATCTGTGCAGAACAAACACTGGAGTTATCGCTGATACTATGTGTCCCCAGTTATGAATGAACAGGAAGTGCTTTACATCACTTCCTGTTCATTTATGAGTTTCTGAATGGGTAGAAGCAGCTCAGTACAGAGGCTTCGACCCATTCATAACTTTAGACCCCTGATATTTCCCTGAAGTCCCCCCAACGGTAAAACATTGAAAACATTTTTTTTATAAAAGTAATAAAAATAAAACGCAAACCCCTCCTCCCCCCCACACACAGATAACATACATGTGCACCATATTGTGGACATGGGCTGTGGTGCGTTGTTACAACGCATCGCAGTGCTTGATTTTTTTTTTCTTTTTAAAATAACATTAATTTTACTGTGTGGCAGCACATGGCAAAGCGTTGTGACGCATTGCCGTGCCTTGTGATATGGAAAGTTAAAAGGACAGCATGCCAGGATACAGCGCTACACTTGAGGGGTTAAATTGGAGATATGTTGAGTTTCCTTGTACGGTTTGAGCAGCTTCAAAAGCTTATGGACCGGGGTGTCCAACCGAAGAGTAAGTTAAACAGAGAAGGGAAGGGAGAAGCGCTGCAAGCCGAGTAGGGAACCGGGCGATTTTTCGCAGAACCTTGTAAGGGGGGGAAGGGGGGCTGGAAAAACTGGGAGCTAATATAAGTTCCCAAACTTCCGTGGTTAGTCCAATTCGTTCGAGTGTGGTCCCAAAAAATAAAAAAACATAAAATTGTGGAGGTAGATGAAATGGCGTGTACAAAAAGAGAAAAACAGAAAAAATCCAGGGACTTACCCTTAGGTAAAAGATATTACGTGGTCATCGACGGAGGGTGGAGTTTCGAAACGCGTAGCCTTGTTTTCCTCGTTCCACACAGACCCAGCCTCCGCCAGCCTCGTGCCTTTTAGTTCTGCCAGCACTGGACACACATTGATCATTCCAGTCTAGCCTAATACCATCACGCTGGCACCCTAACCACGGCCGCAGCATCGCATTATTAACAGCCGCCGGCTTCTCCCCCCTTCCCCCTCAGCCAGTTTGATGCCCGTGAGTTCCATCTGTTCTGGATACGAACCGGGGCACCCCACCTCAAGTGCTTAGCCACTGCCCACCACCACAGCACCAGGTCTTTCAGCCTCAGGATTGTGGAAACACGAGCCACCTGTGTCCCCCTCCCTGTCAGCAACCACCCAGCCACAGCGTCTCATCACCGATGAAGTGGTTATATTAACCCGACAAGAACACATTTGGGAATATACAGCTTTTCCTTTACTCATCAACAAACGTAAAAAAACACCACCTCTGCCTCCTCATTATCACAAATCAATGGGAAAATAGACGTCCCTCCAACGCAGGGTCACAGTCAAGACACTGCAGACACCGCAACCATCCACCTCTACCCCTCGTTACTGATCCCGCAAACACCCCTCACCCTAGGCAAGCAAAGCAAAGAATACTTCACCTACACCTCCTCGCCAACTTCCGTTTACAAGATTTTGGAGAACAGACATCACTCCTGGCAAACTGGAACCCGTGCGACACCAGCATCATCAAACTCCACCCTCTGTCGATGACCACGTAATATCTTTTACCTAAGGGTAAGTCCCTGGATTTTTTCTGTTTTTCTCTTTTTGTACACGCCATTTCATCTACCTCCACAATTTTATGTTTTTTATTTTTTGGGACCACACTCGAACGAATTGGACTAACCACGGAAGTTTGGGAACTTATATTAGCTCCCAATTTTTCCAGCCCCCTCTCCCCCCCTTACAAGGTTCTGCGAAAAATCGCCCTGTTCCCTACTCGGCTTGCAGCGCTTCTCCCTTCCCTTCTCTGTTTAACGTGCCTTGTAATATGCTGTTTTGCAATTAAATGTACGCCTCTATCATTTTATCACAACACACACACGTCAACACAGTGCACAAACGATTTTTACCACAAGTTGCTTATATACAGTTTTGCGTCACTTCATTTTTTTACCGTTTCGCAAAATTTGATTTTAGTGTGCTTTATCAATTTAATTGTGTATTTTTATTGGTTTATTATTGATTTGACAAACATTTGCACAACTATCACAGGACCTACAAAATTAGTAGCACCATCTTTTAATTCTACCCAGGCCTGTGCTTTCAGAAAATATATGGTTTGGGGGGTCTTTTGCAGACGCTAGCAACGCAGCAGTAGAAAATCAAAACAATAGGAAAAATTGCAAAAATGGTGTGGCCAGCTGAGATTAAAAGCGTTTGAGTGCTTGGCAGTGAAAGGGTTAAAGATGTAATTCTAACCTATCTCTCTACTAATGGATCCCACGTGGTGTCTGTACATAACTATAGATCTTTTGAAAGATGGTCCTGCATAGAGACCCTGAAATGGGGTATGCTCAGTATACCAATCGTGAATTACAAGAAAAGTGCACTTTTAGCACATTTTTTCATGTGTCTCCCCAAAGCTTAAAAAACCTGCTCTGCTAATATCTATGAGTTTTAGACACTCCACCTACAGTATTTTTTTTACCCTAGTCTATTCCTGAAGCATCCATTCCAAGCCACCACTAGAAAAGCTGTGTGAAAATGAGAAATGAGCTAATAATTTATCCCTGTCTCTAATCTTCCGGTCGTGGTCGGTAGGAGTGACCGCTGTAGGAAGTGAGCTAGATAGAAACACCAATCAACTTATTTAAACAGGTTACAGAAACAAGTTAAATACAGGAAATGGGGTGAAATTAATTTACAAACAAGCATTTTATACAGGAGCTTTCATGTTTGCAGAGCATGCTGGGCTTTCTAATAACAAAGCCCAGCACTAGCTGCACCCTTTTTACACCTGCGGACAGAATATCCAAACAGTCACTGTCTCTGCTAGCATAAGATGGGAGGGTAAATGTCCTCTCTCTGACTCCTCAGAGTGTTTAGACTGATATACTGCAGATCTGTTCCCAGTGCAGCCTACAAAAGCATAGTAGTAAACCAGCTTTTTGAAACCTTTGTAAAATTAGCCTCACACTTGCCTCATGTTGTTCGTTGTAAATATGAAATATTCATATGCAAAATGTCATTATTACAAGGCTTAATACATTTTCAAAATTGCATTTGCAATTGCACTCACAAATTAAAGAAATGCAATTAAATATTTTTTATATTTTCAGGGAATGAAGAAGAGTCTGTACAAGATGACAGTTAACTATCTGGCTGTTTCGTGTGGACCTAAATATATCTTTCCTGAGATGTTATGTACTATACATGTGTACATTTTTACAATTGAGTATGGGCTATTTTGACAGGAAAAGCTTCTACAAATCCAGACCAGAGCTTGTTACTACCTCTCAATCCAAACACTCCTATTAGCCTATCACTATAATGGACCACTTCACTGGAAAATATGATTGTGCAAGTGGCAAAGCAATCTTTGGCACCATCAAGAAGTGCTGGAGTTTTGCTTGTTAGCCTGCACTCTGTACTTTCAACAGTTTTTGTTTCACCCGCGGATTCTCTTTGTGCAAGATAATATTTTGTATGGCCTTTTTAACAAAAACACCAAACGTTTTAACAAACAAGACTGAAGCTGTGTTTTATGGCATTGTTTTATGTTCATTCAATCATTACATCAATCATTACTGCTATACAAGGCAATATAAGGCCAGTCCATATTAATATAGACCTAGTATTCCTGAGTGCAACTACCATGTCTTAGGGTTTATGTCTCAAATATTTCACTGTTCTATCTATATCATCCAAAACGCCAAACATCATTTATCTTTTTCTAAGATGCACCAGGGATAGGTTTATCACTTGTTATCAAATCAAATGGTAAAATCAATTGGATGATCTATTTACTATGGATAAAGAATTGGCAATTATCACCTCCTAAATAATTATTTTTAAGAAAAGGAAACATCACTGAAGTATGTGTAACCCTTAAGTGAATGACATTTAGGTTTTTTTAAGCATTAAAAAATACTGATTTCAAACTTTTGTACATTCTTTGTTGTAATTATGTGCTGATGTCCTTCAGCCTCTTCCTGTCTACAAGCATGTGCACTAGTGACGACTTCATGGCATTTCTCCGGACTGGTGACAGAAGTGGACCATGCTTGCTTTAAGTGTGTTGTATTCTCCATCAGAAGTCTCTGTTACAGGGCAGGGGCTGTCCCTAATTTATCCCTGTGTTGATATAACTCTGATAGGAGGGAACCCTTTTGAAACAATGAGGAAGAAAAAATCCAGCACTTAGGTGACTTGCAGTCCTGTGCAGTAACAGTGCATGCCACAGTGTTCCATCATTATAGTAACAGTGCTTCAGAGCACTGTGCTGAGCAGGAATTCCTCCTCCTCTGATTCCCAGAAGTCTCTTCCATGTATCAGAGGGAGTGTGCAGCAGCTTTGATGATTAGGTTGTGAGGCATCCCATATGGGGGAACGCTGAACAGGGTCTTCTTTCAATGTATTTAATATATATGATTGTTGTGATTTGCAAAATGGTTCATGGTGATTTTTTATATTTACTATATTATTTTAATACAGGATTCATATAGCACCAACAGTTTGTGTAGCACTTTACAAAATAATGGAGACAATACAATTACAATACAGTTCAATAGGATAGTAAGGCCCTGCTCATGAGAGCTTACAATCTAAAAGGAGGAGCAAGTATTTTTAATTTTTTTTACATTTGACAATTGAAAGAGAGTAGAGGAACTGACAGAAAAGGGCAGTTGCCACTTGATAAGGTGGGTGGAGCAGTATTTATGTTAGATTGAAGAGAAGGTAGCCTGTCTAAAGGTACCCAACGAGAAAAGAGTAGTAATAGTTGAGGCAAGATATGATGAGAGTTTTAATTAGTATATCTGTGGTGTCATTTGTTAAGGAGGAGCAAAATTTGGAAATGCTGCAGAAATTTAGAAATGTTATGGAGGTTAAAGTGGCAAGATTTGTGGCAGTGACTGGATGTTGGCCTGAAGGAGAGATCAGAGTCCAGGATTACACCTAGCACCCCAGCATAAGTGGATGGAATGATACTTGCTATCTATCTCGTTGGAGAAATAAGTGGAGGGGACATGGAGGGAAGAACTATTATGTACTTAATTTTTGAAAGATTTTATGGAAGTGGTGTGACATTTGCACTGATGTCAGTTAGTAAACTAGTAATGCGTGACCAGACCAAAGGAGTGAGCTGAGGAGTAGAGAGGTAGATTTGGCTGCCATTAACATATATACTTTATTGCCAAAAGTATTGGGACGCCTGCCTTTACATGCACATTAACTTTAATGGCATCCTAGTCTTAGTCCGTAGGGTTCAATATTGAGTTTGCCCACCCTTTGCAGCTATAACAGCTTCAACTCTCCTGCGAAGGCGTCCACAAGGTTTAGGAATGTGTCTATGGGAATGTTTGACCATTCTTCCAGAAGCACATTTGTGAGGTCAGGTACTGATGTTGGACGAGAAGGCCTGGCTCACAGTCTCCGCTCTAATTCATCACAAAGGTGTTCTATCGGGTTGAGGTCAGCACTCTGTGCAGGCCAGTCAAGTTCCTCCAATTCCAAACCCGCTCATCAATGTCTTTATGGACCTTGCCTTACCTTACCTTGAAAGCAGGAAATTGTCCAAATTGTCTTGCTATGCTGATGTCTTAAGGGGCCCAGCCCAACCCCTGAAAAACAACCCCACACCATAATCCCCCCCTCCACCAAACTTTACACTTGGCACAATGCAGTCAGGCAAGTACCGTTCACCTGGCAACTGCCAAACCCAGACATGTTCATCGGATTGCCAGACAGAGAAGCGTGATTCGTCACTTCAGAGAACACGTCTCCACTTCTCTAGAGTCCAGTGGTGGCGTGCTTTACACCACTGCATCCCACGCTTTGCATTGCACTTGGTGATGTTAGGCTTGGATGCAGCTGCTCGGCCATGGAAACCCATTCCATGAAGCTCTCTACACACTGTTGTTGTGCCAATCTGAAGGTCACACAAAGTTTGGAGGTCTGTAGCTATTGACTCAGACAGTTGGCGACTTCTGCACACTGTGCACTTCAGCATGCGCTGACCCCGCTCTGTCATTTTAGATGGCCTTCCACTTCGTGACTGAGTTGCTGTTGTTTACCAGTTGCTTCCACTTTGTTATAATATCACTAACAGTTAACCGTGGAATATTTAGTAGCAAGGAAATTTCACGGATGGACTTATTGCACAGACGGCAACCTATCACGTTACCACGCTTAAATTCACTGAGATCCTGAGAGCAACCCATTCTTTCACAAATGTTTGTAGAAGCAGTCTGCATGCCTAGGTGCTTGATTTTATACACCTGTGGCCATAGAGGCGATTGGAGGGTGTCCTATTACCTTTGGCAATATAGTGTAGATGTTATTGGAAGCCATGCAGTGGTTTCAAATGACCCCTGGTGGAGGTGTAGTTAAAGAATAGAAGGGGTCCAAGGTCAGAGCCTTGGGGAACCCCTATGGAGAGAGGAAAAGGAGATAGAGTTGTAGGTTACAATGAAGGTGTGCTAGGATAGGTTGGAAGAAAATTAGGAAAGAGCAGAGCCTTGAAGGCCAAGAGAGTGGACTTTTTGAGGAGGTGTGGGTGGTCAATTCTATAAAAGGCAACAGAAAGGTCTAATAGTATGTGGAGTAGTGGCTATTGGTGTTAGCATTTAGTAAGTTGTTAGTGAATTCGAGAAGGTTGTTATTAGTCAGGTGGCAGCTCAGATGGTGGTATATGAAGTGTTCAAGGTAAACAGGAGCAAGGAGTTGGCTGCTGATTTGTTCAAACTGGAGGGGTCCAATGAAGACTTTTTAAGTATGGTATTGAACAATACATGTTTAGAGTGTAGAGAGGTGGGGAAGATGCCAGTGGAAAGGGATAGATTGAAGATGTGGGTTAGAGAGTGTAGGATAGAGCATGAGGAGGACCATGGTAGTTGTGTGGGGTCCAGGGAACAGGTAGTTAGGGGGGCTTTAGAAAGAAGTTTAGCAACCTCTGTTGTCTTAACTGGGTCAAAAGAGCAAAGTATTCAATATAGTGGTAGACCCGGTATGTTAGGTGGGGGAGATATTTGGACATTGGAGATCTTATCAAGAATTGCATCAATCTTATTTTTTAAATGAATGATAATCTCCTGGCAGTAAATAAGTTGGTGGGTTTAGGTAGTGGAGCATGAAGGAAAGAGTTTAAAGTTGAAAAGAGTTGACAAGGACAAGATAAACGGGTGTTAATGCGAGTGATGAAATAATACTCTCTGGTAGCATGGAGACTGGAAATATATTTTAAGAGGGCAGATATAAGGAGATACAAGTATGTGTTGCAGTGATTTATTTTTGTTTCATAGATGCTCAAGAGCATGGCTATGTATTTTAAAACCTCTGGTGTCCTCAGTTTGCCAGGGCTGGAGTGGTCCTGACCTAATTCTGCATGTAATGAAGGGAACAAAAATGTCCAGGGAGGATGAGAGTAAGTTGTTGTATTCCGTTGTGACCAGGTTATGGCAGGATAGGCTTGTTGTAGAGGTAGTACAGTAAGTAGCAGAACAGAGAAGGGAAGGGCTGAAGTGGCAATTGTATCTATGGGTAACTCTTTGCTTATTGGAGGAATAGTGTTGAAGACAGCGAGAGCATAAAAAGGATAAGATTGTGGTCAGAGAGGGGAAAAGGGGTGTTGGAGAGGGTCAAATGAGTAAAGAGGTGGGAGAAAACAAGGTTAATGATGTTGCCATCAGAGTAAAAGTATATGTCCATTCTGTTTGATTCAAAAGAAGAGGTTAAGTTGGGGATTTGAGAAGTTAGCTGGGGTGTTAACAGTAATTTTAAAGTCACAGATCTATCTATCTATCTATCTATCTATCTATCTATCTATCTATCTATCTATGTAGAACAATGTACATTGTTTGTGAAAAGGTCATTTCCAGAGGAATGTCACTATATAGGGAAGGTACCAGGACTGAATAATGAGGAAATCAATTGTCATATTGCTCTTCTTTCAAATGTTTGTCTGCCATTCAGGCACAAGACCAGGGGATGTTAGAGCTTGTAAAATTAATTCCCATGCAATTTTGATGTAGAATTGACATATGCTTTGGGGCAAACAGACGTCATGTAAAGGTAATAAACCAGCTATCAAATACTGGCGGAGCAGTGTCACCGATTGATTTTCTGGGCAAAGTCGCATAAATAAGAATCCACGAT